TGCCTCCGCCTCCCAAGTAGCTGGGACCACAGGCGCCCGCCACAACGCCCGGCTATTTTTTGGTTGCAGCCGTTATTGTTGTTTGGCAGGTCCGGGCTGGGGATTTGAACCCGCCACCTTTGGTGTACGTGGCTGGCGCCTTAGCCGGTTGAGTTATAGGCACTGAGCCGGCAATACTTTTTGATCACTATAAACTTGTAGGATAGTTTAAAGTCTGGTAAAGTGATGCCTCCAAATTTGTTCTTATTTCATAGAATTTCAATGGCTATTTATGGTTTTTTCCAATTCCATAAAAATCACAGAACTGTTTTTTCCGGATCTGTAAAGTATGATGTTGGTATTTTAATGGGAATTGCATTACATGTGTAATGCAGTATAGATATTTTAACAAAATTAATTCTGCTGAGCAATGATCATGGTATGGTCTTCTGTCAGTTGACATCCTTTGCAATTTCTTTGAGTTTCATAGTTCTTTCCATAGACAGAATCTCATTCTTTTGCCCTGAGTAAAGGGCTAGTGTGTCACAACTCACAGCAACCTCAAACTCCTTTGTCTTTATCAGTTTCAAGAGAATCGTGGTTGAATCTTTGAATCTTTTCTAGGTATAAAATCATGTAATCTGCGAACAGTGATAGTTTAACGTCCTTTGTCTCCCCATTTGGATCCCCTTAATATCCCTCTCTTGTCTGGTTACTTTGGCTAGGAGTTCCAGCACTGGAATAGTAGATGGGGTCTAGCAGTGGTGATAGTAGACAGCCTTATCTGGTTCCTGTTCTAAGTGGAAATACTTCCAGTTTTTCTTCATTTAATATGATTCTGGGTGTGGATTTGTCATGGATGGCTTCTATCAATTTTAGGAATGTTCCATCTATGCCAGTTTTCTTAAGTGTTCTTATCAAAAAAGGTGTTGAATTTTTTCACATGCTCTTTCTGCATCTATTGAGAGGATCATGTGGTTTTTGTTTTTACCTCTATTTATGTGGTGAATTACATTTACAGATTTGCATACATTGAGCTGGCCTTGCATCCCTGGGATGAAATCCCCTTGGTTGTGATGAAAAAAAATTTTTTTATGTGTAGCTAAATTCTGTTTGCTAAGATTTTATTGAGCATTTTTGTATTTATATTCATTAAAGATAATTGGTCTGTAGTTTTCTTTCTTTGTTGTGCCCTTTCCTGGCTTTAGTATAGGGTGATACATGTATTTGTTTCATAGAAAGAGTTGGGAAGGGTTCCTTCCTTCTCAGTGTTTTGGAATAAATTCTGCAATATAGGTACCAGCTCTTTTTTGAAGGTCTGATAGAATTCTGGTGTGAAACCATCTGGTTCAGGAGTTTTTGTTGTTATTGAAAGACACTTTGGACCTCCTCTAACAGAGGGTGTCATTAGATTGTGGAGGAAACAAGAAGAAAAGCTTCTTCAGTTGCTAAGAGAGAGGAAATCAATGTGAGGGAAACCTCCAAAGTAGGTTGAGGTAAAGAACTGGATTCCAGAGCCTTATTAAACTGGGATCTCTGTTTTGACCAAAATGATACAAGAAGAGGGGTAAAGGGTTGCATGAGAAAAAAACATTGATGATTTCTCAGGCACATCTAAATGGTGCCTTAACTTTATGAAGAGAGAAGGTTTGTGCATGAGGACACAAACAAAACTTGCCCCAAACTTCTAGCAACCTATGAGAATTGAGTTTTGAAATTTCATTGTTATCAATCTTTGAATGACCACTTTGAGCTGTCCCAAATCACCAATGTGGATGACGTTTCACTCACATAGAACTGTGGACGTCAAAGGAGCAAAGATGGCGGCTATTAAAGTTAATGGACATGAGAAAAAATATTTCAATGTTGTTCTCACCTGCCATGCAGGTGGGACAAAGCTACCATCTATGATCGTCTTTAAAAGAAACACATTTTCAAAAGAGAAGATTCCAAGTGGAGTTATTGTCCTCATGCGTGGAAAGGATGGATGAAGCCGAAAGGCATGAAAATCTAGTTTAACAATGTCTGGGCACAAAGCCCTGTAGGATTACTTTAAAAATCAGTTTTGCTTGTTTTTGTAAGTGCAAAAGCAACTGCGGTGGACTTGAAAACTCAACTTGCTGTGATACTTGGTAGGCTAACAGGCCAAACGCAACCTCTTGATGTGTCACTAAAGAAGTCTTTTAAAGGCCCTAAGGAAGAAAGAGCACATGTCCTGGATGTAGTCAGCTGGTGATGATTTAACACCTACAGGCAGAATTAAGAAAGCATCCATTCATTGCCCAGGTTTGTGATTGGATCCTAAGATTGTGGAACAGAGTCAAGAACAAAGTGGTTAGCCAGGCGTGGTGGCTCACACCTGTAATCCTAGCAGTCTGGGAGGCTGAGGTGGGTAGATTGCTTGAGCTCAGGAGTTCGAGACCAAATTGAGCAAGAGTGAGACCCCATCTCTACTAAAAATGAAAAACTGAGAGTTAGGGTTGCTGTGAGCTATGACACCATGGCACTCTACCAAGGGCAACAAAGTGAGACTCTGTCACAAAAACAAAAAGAAAGTAGTTGTGATATCATTTTAAAAATGTGGCATTAGTAATACTATGGGTGGAACTGAGGACAATGAAACTTACAGGATAAAGAAAGTGACTCTTCAGAAAACACCACTAATCCAGAAATTGAAGATTATACTTCTCAGAGTGACAGTGACAAAGAGCTGTTGGCTTTCTAAAATGTGTAAATACCGTAAATGTGTTACTGGTACATAAAATTTCTCATACCTTGTATCTGTTCTCATGTTTCATAATTATTTGTTACATAAAATTTCTTATACTATAGTATGTTAAAAAATAAATGCTAAAAAAAACCCTTATAATACAAGAACAAGTATCTAAATATAAACAAATAAAAATTTGAATTAAAAAATTAAAACAAAAGTTTTTTTCCTAAAAGTATGGGCCAAAAATGTGTGTGCACATTGTATACTAGAGTGCATTATACACAGCAAAATATGGTAGCTATCAGATGTATCACTTCTATATATATTATAAATACCAAAACATAATGTTATAATCTTTGCTTTAAATATGTATTTGGGCTGGGCATGGTGGCTCATGACTGCAATCCTAGCACTCTGGGAGGCTGAGGCAGGTGGATTGCCTGAGCTCATGGGTTTGAGACCAGCCTGAGCAAGAGCGAGATCTCGCCTCTGAAAATAGCCAGGTGTAATAGGTGCCTGTAGTTCCAGCTACTCGAGTGGCTGAGACAAGAGAATCACTTGAGCCCAAGAGTTTGAGGTTGCTGTGAGCTGTGATGCTACAGCACTCTACCAGGGGCAACAAAATGAGACTGTCTGTAAATAAATAAATAAATATTTGTATTTTAGGGAATTATATAGGGAAAACCCCTATTAACTATGTATTTATCATTTTTGGTGCTCTTCACTTCTTCCTTAAGATTTTGTGATTAATACTGTAGGAGAAACTCCTTACAAAACACTTTATGGTAGTGGTTCTGAACTAGGGTGACTTTTGGAAGTTTAGGGGAACATGTTTAGTTGTACAACTAGGATGGAAGTTGCTATTGGTATCTGATGTGTTGAGGCCAGGATGCTGCTAAACAGTCTGTGATGCTCAGAACAGCAAAGAAACATCAGACCCAGCAAATCATTGCTGAGATTGAGAAACCCTGGTTTATAGAGAATGCTCTGAAAAGCATTTTAATATGCAACTTTTAGGTTTCCTTATGTCTATAATATGATTTATTAGGATTTAATCAGTATCTGTAACTTATGTCATTTGTCTTTGGCTAACAAAAAAAGGGGTGTTTGTCTATATGACAGGTGGTAAATAAAGAGAACAAGAAGTACTCTATATACTTTAGAACTGATTGGCATGTAATCTAGCTAGCTGGATTATTTTAATAGAAGCACCTTGAATTAGAAATAAAGCTTTAATACCCCTTATCTCTACAGAAAAGTAGCCTGTAACCAGAATTCTCTGAGTTGATGATGAACTGTGTACAACATTTTTATTTGGAGAGGTCAGGATTACTTTTAGATATTTTACTTCTTTTCATTTTTTTCCACAAGCAAGGTGAGGGGTAGGAATTTGATTTGCCCCTCAGACTTACTGAACCCACCAAATAATACAGTATACTTTCACAGTGATATTATCTTGTCTCACATAATCAAAATATTTTTTAAAGAAACCTAGAATTAGAGTTGATTTTTAAGTACAAGCATAAAATATTAAGATGCTAAATGTAAACAAGCACCATATTGTTTTTGTGTAACAGGTTGGACAGCACTTCATGAAGCTAGCGTAGGAGGATTTTATTGGACAGCAAGTGAACTACTGAAAGGTGGAGCAGATGTAAATGTCAAAGGACTGTATCAGATTACTCCCCTTCATGATGCTGTGGCGAACAGACATTATAAGGTACTGTGTTGCTTTTGCTTGCAGAGTAAATAATATAGTCTGCAAATATTAAATATCTCTGGGACCATGCGGCAGAAAAACATACAAGAATTTCAGTTGCAGTTCATTCTGCTAATGGAAGCTCAGAATTTATAATTGAATTTTACTGTGTGATAGGTTTGTTGTGTGTGATGTGATTTAATTTTATATATTACTTTTAATAACTATACAGGTATTGGTTACACATGATATGTTTTCAACTTGCTCTCCTTTAATACACTTTTTTTGTGGTGCTGTATAAGCAATAGAAGCACATTTCCTTCTTACAGAGTGTTACACAGTGATGTTGAGTCCTGATAGGAGGTTTATAGCTTTATGGAGTCTAGTGCCACTTTCAGAAGCAGCATAAGACATGAGAACCTCCCAGAATTATCAGCTGGTACACATGAGCATGGCTGTACTACTGGTTAAAATATTAGAATACTATAATTCTATACCTGTTGGTTATAGTAACTGTAATCAATGGTAACATTAAGTTTATGAATTATAGTACACCCAGTTTATCTCATAAATCACATATAAAAGCTTCCTACATACTTTATTTTGGTCTAGGTGCAACATTGCAGGGCTGAGGCATTTGCTGAAATATGTTGTCATTTATTTCAGGTATTAGAAATTGCCTCTGGGGTCAAAAACTCCTGGGGTGGGAAAGGGGATTAGTCAGTTGGATTCAGGAAGATTAGCTATATGTATTTCTAGAAGAAATGTCTAACAGAAGCAGAGATAGGGAAGGCCGCTAAGAGCTATGAGCATAAACAGCATATTTTTCATAGTGGAACAGTACTTCAGGAGAGTTTAGGCAGTTTTGCTTTTTTCTGATAATGTGTTGCTTGGTGGCAGATGGTCATTTCTGTACATTGTATAGAGTGAAAAGGGGAGGGAATTCTATCTGGACCCAAATTAATGGCCAGAAGAGTGCAGGCTTGGACAAGTGACAGTGTGAACCCTTTCTCTCTCTTTTTTTTTAACCTTTCCTTTAAAGCTGGCTTGAGCAGAGAAACCTCATGCCAAAGCACTTCTCTCTAGTCTAGCCCAATGGCCCATTTGTTCCTCGCTTCCTAGAGCTGACTTTTCCTGGTAAGAGACTTTTCTTCCATTGGATGAAGAGAACCTTGAACACTTTACTTATTTTTCTTTTCTTTCTCAGTTCTTCCTTTGCCCTACTTGATAACTTGGCTCCAATCAATTTCCACTTCATAGTGTAGGCTGGCTATCTCCTTTTTGGCCTTTGCAGATATGTAGTCATCTCTCTCTGATTCCCTCAGTGAAGTAAAAGGAACCAAAGATGCAGGCTACCAGCTCCAGAATCTAGTTTCCCTACTTACCACACTCCTTCTCAACCTCCAGTCTTCCTAGGGCTCATGGTCTCCTGGCACCAGGGCATAGCTTGACCCAGTCCAAGATAGATTGACATAACTCCAGATTAGTACTTGACTGACTTAGCAACTAGCCTTGAGAATGGAAGTGGGATAAGTCATGGTTTTAGAGGATGGGGCAAGGATGGTGGGAACATCAGGTGAAAATCTATTCCTGCCTTGGGAAATCTCTTGTGTGAGGCAAAGGTAGAAAAATGGCCTAGACCATGGATATTGGATTGCTCTGATGCTTTAAGTGTCACAGGACTAAAGATGTCAAATAGGGAAGCCTTGGGAACTGGATGCTCATCCTGGTATCTGGAGAGTGTGAGCTGCTTTAAACATTCCAGAGAGTTGAAGAAACTTTATATTGTCTTACAACCATTGAAAGTTATGTTGGAGAGATACTAAACGATAATATTCTAATTTTCTAAAAAGTCAAAAACGCATATTATATGATTCCATTTATTAGAAATATCTATAATAATCAAATCTATACAAACAGAATGTGAGGGATGGAAAGTAAAGAGTGGGAAATGGGGAATGACAGCTAATGGTTAAAAGGGTTTCTTTCTGGGGGAATGAAAATGTTTTAAAATTAGATGGTAGTAACATTTTTCAATCATCAATATATTAAAAAACAGTGACTTATAGTCTTTAAATAGGTAGATTGTATGGTATGTGAATTGTATCTTTTTTCTTTTCTTTTTAAAGACAGAGTCTCACTATATTGCCCTTGGTAGAGTGCTGTGGTGTCACAGCTCACAGCAACCTCCAACTCCTGGGCTCAGGCCATTCTCTTGCCTCAGCCTCCTGAGTAGCTGGAACTACAGGCACCAGCCACAATGCCCAGCTATTTTTTTGTTGTTGTTGCAGTTTGAGCGGGGTGGAGGTTGAACCTGCCACACTTGATATATGGGGCCAGTGCCCCATGCACTGAGCCACAGGTGCTGCCATGAATTATATCTTAATAAAACTATTAAATGGGCTTAGCACCTGTGGCTCAAGCGGTTAAGGTGCCAGCCACATACACCTGAGCTGGCAGATTCGAATCCAGCCTAGGTCCACCAAACAACAATGACGGCTGCAACCAAAAAATGGCCAGCCTTTGTGGCTGGCTCCTGTAGTGCCAGCAACTTGGGAGGCAGAGGGAGGAGAATCGCTTGAGCCCAGGAGTTGGAGCTTGCTATGAGCTGTAATGCCATAGCATTCTACCCAGGATGACAGCTTGAGGCTCTGTCTCAAAACAAACAAACTATTAAATGCATTTTTTTTTTTTTTTTGAGACAGAGCCTCAAGCTGTCCCCCTGGGTAGAGTGCCGTGGCATTACAGCTCACAGCAACCTCCAACTCCTGGGCTCAAGCGAGTCTCCTGCCTCCGCCTCCCAAGTAGCTGGGACCACAGGCGCCCGCCACAACGCCCGGCTATTTTTTGGTTGCAGCCGTCATTGTTGTTTGGCGGGTCCAGGCTGGGGATTCGAACCCGCCACCTTAGGTGCACGTGGCTGGCGCCTTAGCCGCTTGAGCCACAGGCGCCGAGCCTTAAATGCATTTTTTAAGTGGAAAAGTTAGAATTTGAGAATTGTAGGTCATTAGTTCAGTGTTATTCCTTAAAGCAATCTGTAACAAATTAATAAATACATATGTGGTTGGGAGACATAGGCAAGAATGAAGTGATCTTTGAGAATATTAGACATCGCTAAATAAGTCTTCCAGACTAACCTTTAGTCCTCTTTTATTAGGCTTACTTTGATAATAAGAGAAAGACATGGCATGGCTGTAAGTTACCAAGATTTGCCAAAACTTTTATCTGATAATATATCCTATGGTGTGTGTATATGGTCTCTTGAATTAGAGATTTGTTGGCAACTTTATTGGAATTGAAAACATAAGTCTCAGATGTGGTAGATATGGTGATTATTCATTTCATGTATGTCTAGAGTGAGCTCTCTTGTGAAATATGGTTATATATTCTATTGTGTTATAAAGAGTCAAAACCAGTGCTTTAGGCTGGAACAAGGACTGTGATTTGATGTTGTTAAGGTATTTTTCCATACCCACCATATCATCTCACTTAATAAAAATTAAGTTTTTAAATACCATTTAATACACAGTCTCTATTCAGATTTTCTAAATTATCTCAAAAATGTATTTTTATAGAAAGTTTTTATTTGAATTAGGATCTTCAAGGTCTATATATCATATATGTTCATTATGTCTCTTAAATATTTTTTAGGCTTGGTGCCCATAGCACAGTGGTTACAGTGCCAGCCACATACAGTGAGGCTGGCAGGTTCAAACCCGGCCCAGGTCAGGTAAACAACAATGACAACTGCAACAAAAAATAGCCAGGCATTGTGGTAGACGCCTTTAGTCCCAGCTACTTGGGAGGCTGAAGCAAGAAAATTGCTTAAGCTCAAGAATTTGAGGTTGCTGTGAGCTGGGATGCTACGGCACTCTACCCAGAGCAACAGAGTAAGACTCTGTCTCAAAATAAAAAAATAAATAAAATGAGTATATATATATATTTTTGAGACAGAGCCTCAAGCTATCCCCCTGGGTAGAGAGCTGTGGCATCACAGCTCACAGCAACCGCCAATTGCTGGGCTCAAGCGAGTCTCCTGCCTCAGCCTCCCAAGTAGCTGGGACCACAAGTGCCTGCTGCAATGCCCGGCTATTTTTTTTGTTTTTGGTTGCAGCTATGATTGTTGTTTGGTGGGCCTGGGCTGGATTTGAACCTGCCACCTTCGGTGTATGTGGCTGGCGCCTTAGCCACTTGAGCCACAGGCACCGAGCCTAAAATGAATATTTTTTAATCTAACATTTCTAACTATATTCTACAAGGTCAGACAATTAAGTTTGTAAACTCATCCTAAAAAAAATTCTTCTAGTATGAGTCGTGAATTTGTCTGACCTATATATAGGAAGGGTTAGTTTTTAAATCTCCTATTTGTTGAAGAAACTGGGTTATTTGTCTTATAGAATTGGATTGGAAATTTGGATTTGGCTGATTTTATATTTGTGGTGTTACTTAGCTTGCTTCTTCCTATATCTTCTGTAAATGTTATATTTTAATGGGAAATAATGCTTAGAGACCCTAGTTGACTGAGCACTAGGTATGCTTATTGCTGTTGTTTTTAGGCATTTTCAGTGAAACATATACTTTAGAAAGAAAAATCATTAGCTGAAGCTGCTTTTCTATTTCAGACTTAATAGTATAGATTTATACTTCACTTTGGTTCGCTACTTCTGTCTCATTTGTGTATGGATGTGGGGGTTATACTGTTAGGATTTTCTTCTTGAGACCAAGTCTCACTTTGTCGCCCTTGGTAGAGTGCTGTGGCATCACAGCACACAGCAACCTCAAATTCTTGGGCTCAAGTGATTCTCTTGCCTCAGCCTCCTAAGTAGCTGGGGACTACGGGCAACAGCCTGGCTATTTTTAGAGACGAGGTCTCTCTCTGGCTCAGGCATTCTCGAACCTATGAGCTCAGGCAATCCACCTGCCTCTGCCTCACAGAGTACTAGGATTATAGGCATGAGCCACTGCTCCTGGGGACTATTAGGTATTTTTACTATATTTTATAAAATTCGTAAAATGTGGGC